ACAAATGCCTAGCGAGCGTGAGTCATCCCTGCCCTTTGTACACACCGTCTGTAGCTTCTACCGACTGAATGGTCCGGTGAAGTCTCTGCGCCGCGGTGATCCAGTGGTCTGCAGTGGTTTGCCGCTGGGGGTGCTGTGATACCTTCATTGAACCTGCCCCTTATCATTTAGAGGAAGGAGAAGGCGGAGTAACAAGGTTTCCGTAGGTGACCCTTCGGAAGAGTCGTTAAAAAAAAAATAAAAAAAATTAAAAAATTGGAGCCAGATTGTATTCTTCTTCTTCTTCTTCTTCTTTTTTTTTGAGAAGAAGCCGAGCGAGCTGGTGCTAGGAGTCGGATTGTATTCTGCACTACCTGGGTCCAGGTCCCACTAGCAAAGATGATAGGATCAAGCTCCTGAATCTGGATGTGTTTTATGCAGAGATGCAGAAAAGCAGTTCAATCTCAATTTCCTTCACCTCTCCACGAACATGTCCAGATTCAGGCATTTGATCTGATCCTCTTTGCTAGTGGGACTACGCCCCTGAGCTCATCATTGAATGCCGGATGCCCATTGTGGGGCACTGGATTGTAGGTTGGGGCCAAGATTTCGCCCCTTTTTTTCCCCTTCTCCTCTTTTTTATTCGTCCAAGGTTCATCAGATGTCAGGGATCATGCACGCGTGGCAAGGTCCCACTACAGTCTTCCCCCGAATACAAAGTACGGTCATTATAGCTGAATTTAGACAGCCAGATAGACCAAATTCGGCTATAATGACCGTGCGTTGTATTCGGGGGAAGTTTGTAGCAGAGAGGATCCCACTAGCAGAGAGGATTGGATTTAGCGCGTGGATCTGGACGTGTTTGTGGAGAGGTGCAGAAAACCAGATGACTCATGATTTCCAGCCCCTGTCCACAAACACATCCAGATTCAGGCATAGAATCCAATGATCCTCTTTGCTAGTGGGACCCCCCCCTGGGAAGGTATACCTTCATTTCGTTTTGTCTTACTGCTGGGCAGGTGAGGACGTGACTGAACACACTGCATAAAAAACAAAAAATAATAATAATAATAAATGAAAAAAAGAATAGTTGATTGGGTATGCCTGCGTAGATCCTCCACAGCAGGAGCGAGATCCCACTACCCATGTATGTGGAGTGTATGTGGGCTAGTGTTTAAACTTTAAGCCACCAGTACTTGGCCCAGCTATTGAAGCTGAGCCTGAATATGCCCTCCGTGCCGATTTTTGCTGAGCCTGCTGGGGGCAGGAACCAACATGGGACATTTGATGCTTGGCACAGGTACCGCCCTTATTCTGGACCTGCTGCCAGCAGCTGGAATGTAAAGCGGCTCCAAAGAGAATTTGTGTCAGAACAACCGAACAGGATGCACTGCGGCCTATTTTTTCAAGGAAGCCGCAGACTTTTGTCAATGAATATGGTCCGTGTGCCCAGTCACATGCGGTCGTCTTGACTGCCACTGTGCCACAGGCTCACAGCCATGGTCAGTGAATCATACCCTGACATCTGACACCCCGGCTGGAGCAGACACCATCTGTGAGAAGAGCACTTTGAAATTCTTTTCTTTATGAGCAGTTTTTCCTTCATTTGTTTGGTCATGAAATGTTTTTTTTGCGTTTATTTTCCCTATTTCACGCTGCCACCCACCTGTCCCCCACCCGTCCCACATCCCGTCACACTAATCCACATACATGGCTAGTGGGATCTCCCTCCAGGTGGGTCATCAACCCCTCTCAAAAACGGCCTGCTGAATTGGATGCGTAAAAAAAAAAAAAAAAAAAAAAAAAAGAGATGATCCATTGCATACTAGCGGCGAAGAACGTCCACTGTTCTTCAATAACTGGGCTTTGGTCCTTTAAAAAGTTCGCCGCGACAGTGGGAATGTATTGCGCATCTCACCATGCTGAAAGTTCACGGTATGTGAGAGAAACACTACAAGGCACACACATCACAGAAAAGAGAAAAAAGAGGCAATCACGCATCGGCATTTTTTGTTCGGCAATCTCACCCAAAAGCACCTCTGAGCGTGGGCCCCACATTCTCTACTTGGATGGTTTAAACCTGGTGCACATTCTCTACTTGGATGGTTTAAACCTGGTGCACATTCTCTACTTGGATGGTTTAAACCTCGTGCAATTTCCACTCAAAAGCATCTGGGCCGTCAAAACGCCTCCCAGCCCAGGCATCCGATTGGGTGTCCTGTGAGGCCTTTGCACCCAGGTTTAAACCACCACCACCCTGCCCAGCTATTGATGTCGAGCAGAACTGGCCCTGCGTGTCCAAAATAGACGAAGCGACATCAGTACCCCGCCCTGCAGGGCCTGTACAACCAAAAGAAACACAGAGCCTAAAATCGCAACGCAGGGCCGATACGGCCAAAAAAAAAGGGAAGCGATGTGAGCCTGCTCTTGGCTAACAGCACCAGCCGTTTCGCTCCAGTACCCAAACCCCTGAAAAATCCAGGCATGGATGAGCTACAGCGTTGGTTTTCAAGCGGCGAAT